ATAATATATATATATATATATATATATATATATATCAAGTGTCCAGAATAGTAAATTCAATAAATTCTAAAAATCACACCGCTGAGCAATTTAAAGATTTGTTGTACTAAAGAAAAGGAATCTACGAATTGATCAAATAAACCGCATCGTTCCATAGGAACTGTCCTAACAAAATTTTTTGAGGAAACAATGAGCATCTTCAACCGTTGTCCAAGACTTATACGAGCTAAAAAATTTTACTGATAACGGGAATTTTATAGAAATAAATTAAATACACTAAACACCAGTAATATTACAACATGCAATCACAACAGTAAAAGGTTTTCTCTGAAATGTAAGAATAAATACTTCAAAAATCCATTATTTCAGACAGTAAAACAATAACCAACCTCCAAATTTATCGCTAACTTCTGAATCCAGAACTACAAATCCATAATCTTCAAGTAGTTCGCATGCTTTCTGCCGATCAATTAATTCTTCTGGATGTATTTTCTGTGCACCCTGTAACGAAGGGAATTTTAAATGGATCTCCACAAGCTGAAAGAATATATGCCTTGGAAATGACCTAGCATATATTTTCATTTCTTTTTTCAATTTAAATACATCCTTAAACCTACCGTAGTTTTCTGAAATGCCATCATTTTTCCAAAGAATTTCAATAACAGTTTCATGGATTGCCCCTAAGACCATCAAGGTAAATAAAAAAAATCAAAAACTTACAGACCCATGTTTCTCAGGATTCCATTGCAATAAGAAGTGATAAATGGCATCAACTTTATGCTTTGGTATAGCAAACCAGAATTCTTGCCTTGCACAATTAGCGATCACATCTTCGGTGCTTGCTGATGATGAACGTACAATATCGACAGCTGGGAATCGTCCTCAAAATCAAAAATGTTTAATCGATATTAAAAATGGAATAGTGGAATCAATAAACACGTTTTTTCTGATTCGATAAGCTGTCACATAAAACTAAAAGCTGAAGAAATTAGACAAAGTAAACGCAATAACCACTAGAAATTCAATATAGGGGTATTTCAGATGATTCATGAGACTATAAAAAACAAACTGAAACAACTTTTATTTCCATATTCCGTCTTCACTTTTTATAATTTCAAGTGAAATTACCTTTGTCATGCTTTTTTTTCTTGTTCAGACGAACAGCCATAAAGTATGGTGAGTCGGTCAAAGTGCATTTTTCGGTTGCAGAAAATGTTCGCGCTGGAGAACGAAGTCCATGTACCGGTTTCAACAAGTTCAGCGTCTCGTCCATTGATGTAGCGTAAAAGAAGCTAGTAAAAAAAAAAAAAAGGTAAAAGGAAGTAAAATTCACAAGATATTGAGAAATATAAAGCAAATAAAGCAAAATATTCATAGACGCATTAATTTCGTTGGTCTATTTTACGAACCAATTTCTTAATATTGAATTTTCTGATCCCAAAATTCAATCTTGATATTTGACTTCCCAGTCAAATGTTGACTAATGGTTTATCTCAGTTAATTTATCTCAGCTAATCAAATGATTTAAGTAAACTTCAAGCAAGCTGGACCATTGCTACTTTTTGTTATGTTATCGATGAGTTGATAATATAATTTTAGAATATGAAAATGGATGATGATTTAATATGAACCAAAGTTATTCCATTTTTGATTACTAGCGAGTTACGATTAAAAAAATAAGGAAAAGAAAAAACGATCACAGTGTGCAATGCAATGCAATAGTACTTGACTGAACAATGAAAAAAATCCATCACGGGTCAACTGAAAAAGATACACGTTTTTCCCGCTGATAAACATATCAATGGTCATAACATGATGATAATTAACGATTTCAGAATTATTAATGAATACATGAAAAAGTTCTTACTGTTTGTTTCTCACAGCTTCCTCTCGCAGCTGTTCAGTCTTTTCTTTTAATGACAATAATGCAGTCAAATTTTGTTCTTTTCGTGTCTTTGAAGAAGCTTCATCCTGATTTAGGAATCCAGTTATTATGTTGGAAAACAATAACGTTCGAATTCAAACTTGACATTAATAATGCGTTATGTATGAATTACGGGGAGAAAACTGAACAAAAAAAAATAATTTTGTAATGCCAAGATCGATTCAGTAAATGCAAACAACTATTCGGCAATGTCCTAATATCGAAAAAATAAGGTTCATAAGTGGAAACAGCTATATGCCCGACTTATTTCACAATATTTCGAAAAATGCTAAGTCAATTAAATCTACAGATCCAATGAACACTTTGAGGGACTTTGAGTCTTAGGATTTAAGAAGTATAACGAAATAGAGCAATTTGAATTTCATCCAAAGCAAAGTATAAATTTTCAAACCAAACAATTCAGAAGTTACGGAATTAGAAATAAAACCACATAATGACGTTAATGAACTCTTTACATTTCTTATGCATAGGAATAAGTAGAATGTAATGAGAACAGAACAGCATAAAACAGTAAGTGAAACCCAAATATCGTTTCAAAATGATGATTTGACTACAGCAAGCGTCAATTTCTTTTTTAGTGATTTCTTTTTTAATAAATTTCTTTTTTAGTAGCTCCATATAAGTGTACCGCTTATAAAAGGTATGAGAAAAAAAATTTCAGCTGCGCTGTAATATATTCCAGGACTTCTAAAACATAAAATGAGGCATGGTGCCACAAACCATATCACTTCGTATCAAAAATTGAGTCGTCAATGGAACTAAGTTACCATTGAATTAATAACAGGAACATTCTAAAGGGAATCTTTCACGTGTATTTAAATTTATAACGAGTAATATTAAAGCAAAACTAAAATATATTCACCTGAAAATACGTTGCTTCAGGATGTTGTGATGCAGAGAACAAACCGCTGCTCATACTAGCGATACCCTGCGGCACAGCAACTACTGCACCAACAGCAGTTTTTGCATGGCTTGCTGCCACTTTAACACTGGTTTGGAGACCAGTTTGTAATGTACCTGCAAAATACTGTTATAAGTTTGGTGATAAAATTATTTGGATGATAATATATAGCTTTAAAAAAACGGTAGATAAGCGGAAAGTTACGCCAGTTCGACTGTTTTCACATATATCCTAAAAAGCTTCATTTTCTAGATAATATCGCGTTTTATTCAAACGAAGGAAATAAGTTCAAGTTTCTACGAAATTATTTATAACACCAGAAAAGAGATAACAACACTATTTTAAAGCAATATAGCTTTTAGTAAAGCATCGAATAGAGAAAGTAATTACATAATGAAAGAGAATGTTGCTCAACAATGACTTTCCTCAGTTATCCTCAGCATTAATGCATTTAGTTTCAAAAAGCTATCTGCTGTTATATTTATACGGTGTTAACTTATTATTTGTATTATCTATTTCGTATTTCTCCAACCATATTCAGCCCGTCCTCAGTTTCTTATTTTATTATCCAGCATTTTACAGCAAAACACCAAATATATAGAACAAGCCATCGTTATCATATCATTTATAAGAGCAGAATGTTCGATTCCATTTTGTAAGAGTAATTTAAAACACGAACAGCACGAATAGGCTGCTTTTCAAATTACGGAAGCATTTAAAGTTTAACGATTAATTCGCACTTTTATTTCATTAACTTATCATTTCCAAATAATTGGCTTTGCTAGAGTTTTACTTCTGCCCTTAATGTAAGTTAAAGAAAGAAAAACTATAATAGAATCATTTATCGATATCAACAATATTGCTGTTTTGTAATGAAGAATAACAAGTGCTAGGAAGTAATATTCGTTTGATATTTAGCGTCGCATACATAGGAAAAAAAAAACTCCCTGGCCAATTATGCCAAGTTAAGCTAATCTCGACGAGTCTGCAATGACCACTACAGGCTAACCTACGATGAATACATTTCGAATTAGCATAGCAAATTCTGGACTTCACCTGCGACAACTTTGCTTTGGGAAACAACACCCTGAGCAACTGATTTCGTACCACTCATTGCTGACTGTGTCATACGTTCGGCCCCAGAAGTCACCGAACCACGAATTGTGTTTGCATGAGTACTAAAGCAAAATCGTTTTGTGAAAATTGAATGACTATGTAGATTTGGACTAACAGATATATTTTTGAAAGATTAAGAGTAACAAAAACAAGTTTACAGAACGAAGAGGGGTAATTATGATAGGCATTTGAATGTGCAAAAACAATTATTTGCAAGTTCCAGCTTAACAAAAACTTCAACAAAATAGACTAGAAGTAAAAATGACAAGGACTATTGGTTTCACAGGTTTTGTTAAACCGACCTTAAAGTCCTCCCGAGTTTAGAAAGCGGATTACAGGTTAATCCAGTACGTGTATTATTCACACTGGTCGAAGGCTGCAAAGAATATTGTCGTTTGTCCTCACCATTCCTGTTGAAAATTTACATTTACCCCCGAAGTATATTTGATTTTTCCAAATATTTATGAATATCGCTAACTTAAAGAGAAGAAATGATTAAAACCTCGAAAAACTAAGCCCAGGAGTGTTGTAAATTACTTACCCAGAAATAAACGTCCTATTCATTTCTTCGTCTTTCTGCCCTAAAAGAATGAGCAAAAGGCAATAGTGGATAACAAAATCAAAATAATCAAAGTGATACAGTACGAAGAGGAAAGCTCATTTTCAAATTCGAATTTTCAAAATCAAATCGAAAATTTGTACGAACACAGTGGCATGTCATCTGTGAATTGTTTTGAATCGTTTGACAGATCAGAATAAGTGCGTCGAGCAGTTCGAGCAACTTTATCTAATTTATTTCCTTTCTTCACAATCAGTGGAGATTTAAAATCAGAACCAAAATGTTCAATGTGGGCCTGTAATATGGAGTAACTATAGCCTATTAAACTGATAAGATGTAACAAGGGACGAAGGAAAAATTCATATGAATAAAGACGAAAAAATTTCATTTAAATTTTATGAAAAACACAAGAGCTGCATTAAAAAAAGGTAAAAATGCCTCAGGAAGTTTCAAAATAACCAGTTCATCCACCCCAGGCTTTCCAAATCAGGTAATGCAAAATTTACACAAACAAAATTTTGGGAATGAAATTATGCTATATTACTGTTATTTTCATCAAAAAATAATATAAACTAACTGAAAAATCAAAAAATATATAAAGGATAAATAATATGCAGAAAGAAAGAAGGCTTCTGCGTGAATGAGTTATTAAATGATCATAGTGTTTGGATAAATGAAGTGATGAAATACGGTTCAAAAATCTCAATCTTTCCTGATGATTTCAGCTATTTATCATTTATTAAAACTTCAAAAAGGGGAAAATAAAGCGTGATTGGTATAAATATAAATTATTATACAAGATGCACACTGCCACATAGTTGCAAACTGATGTAATCGGAAAATGTGTGAAGAAGTTGAATGTCATCTTCATTCCTGATGAATTATGGATGTGATACTTCATGACGGCAAACAATTAAAAAATGAAATTAATAACGTTCTTTGGAAGTTTTCTGACTATTGAAAATTCTCTATTAATATACGATAGCAGTTTGGGAAGATATAATTTTGGAAATTGAAAAGGCATCTACGTAGTTGTCTTAAAGATAGATAACACCAGATGTATCGTATAATGAACCTACCTCCTGACCTTCTTTTCGCTTTAATTCCAAATCCATGTCATCAAAAAAAACTCTCGGCGATTGAACATCTGAAAATGACTAATCTTCCCACTCACATTTTGTGAGAAAAACTTGTCAACAAATTCACAATTTTTGAAGAAAAAATCATAAAAGAAATATTAAAAACATTGGCTAAAAATTAATTGGCTAAAAATTAATGAGCCCTTAATTTAAGTAGAAAAAATATGAGCGAAAAAAAGCAAGTTGGAAGTCTGACCTGATATGCTGCTAACATGGAAGTAAAACTAAAAAAAGTATTGTTAAATAGCAGAAGAAGCAAACACCTGTATTTTTAAAAATGTCATCTGCCAAATACTTCGACGTTTCGTTCACAGTTTCTTTCTGGAAGTTGTTTGAATGCAAAAAGATTAAACTTCATCCAATACTTTGTGTGTTTTCTCGTGCCATTGTTCAAACTACTCTTTTTTGGAATTTATAAAGCAGAAAAATCAATACCTTCGAAAGTATTTTTATAGCTCAAAAAAATATACCTTGCAAAAATAAGTTTCCAAAAGGTGAAAAAAGTATAAGTGATTGCAGATTCAAAAACGTAACTTATATAAAAAGATAACTAACAGTCGCAGGAACGGTGAAACACTCAGGAACAGATGAATCTCGATAAGTGCGATCGTGAACTTCTCTGTCGCCTTTAGGATCGTTTGATACAGTCGCACTCTTAAACATGGCTACAGACATCACTTCTTCCATCCTATAAAAAATATTTTATAATCAGCAAACGACATAACAATGGAATTTGAAATTGACGGACACTAATTCCAGCTCCCAAAATTTCAGGTCCGAGACTTTTAAGACTATAAAAAATCAAAGATCCTGATAGTATGCCACGAACGTTATCATCCTATACCCATATTGCGTTCAAGTTAAAAACAAGAAAGCAATCTTTTGATAATAATGGCAGAAAATCTGAACAAACACTTGCTACCTCATACATATACCAGTGCTGGATTATTTATTCATAAAAACAATCAAATTACATGAGACTTGCTAAATTCTTATTAATTTAATGAATGTTATAGATACCTAGTTGAGAGCAGCAAGCTAGAGAATTACAAGTAGAAATACAACAGCACAAAGTAAACTAACCTGGCCATCATGATATACAAATCCTGCCCATTCTCAAGAACCAGAGGATGCACAACATCTGGATCAAACATTAAGGCATTAGGTGTGACCAGCAACGTACCTGTCACTGTTCCATACTTCTCAGTTATTTGCTTTACCTTTGAATTGAATACAATTGAATTATAAAAATGGTAGAAAATGAAATGAACAGATATGAGTTAAAAATAAGCATAAAGACAAAGAGGAGTACTTCACTGCCACGAGCTTTCAGGACTTGCATTTCCTCCACCATTTTACCTCATCTTCCCTCTTGTAAAATAGTTACAAACATATACACTTTGAGACAAACTGTTAAAAAGAAAAATATTTCTGATAAAACTGAAAACCTAATATTTTTAATCAAAAACTGAAAATCTACTTCCTTTAGCAAGTGTTACTTTGCTCACCTTCATCCACAAAGCAATTCCCTCTGTAAAAAAACGTTTTCCTGCATCCATACCTTTAACTTGACGAATCTCTTCATAGTGTCAGTGTCCGCTTCTTCTGCTTCTACCAAATCTCTTTTCTCTGAATATACTTGAGACACACTATGTTTTCCCAATACAGTTGTTGAAGGATCCGAACTCGTATCAGCACGGCCACACACCTGAACAGCCACTCCAGGTCCGCGTTGAATTCTACCTCTTTCTGCAATATTATATGGAATGCACTGAACATATTATACTTATATTTACCGTCAAATTATTATTTTCAATCTATCATTCGTATTAAATGGTATATATGAAGGGAAAGGTTTCGCATAAGAGATAAGGTTTCGCATAAGAGATAATAAAAAAGATATTATCCTTTTTCTGTAATCGGAAGTAAACGCCGGAAGAATATAGATTACTGATTTTAGACAGATCAAGATGAAGATACAAGCCACAACATTATGCTATATCCTGCAGTAGCCTTTTAATAATTGTGACTAAATCATTGAACGGCTTAATGAATAAGTCTGGATAAAGAATAAAATCAAACACATTGTATTTGTATTTATCTTCAAATTATAATTGTATTTATCTTAGTTTTGTAGTCTTCCTATTCTAAAATATTAGGCTTAACTCCAACAAAATAAAGCAAGCAACATATACTACATTACGAGAATGAAAAAAAACTCCAACTGAGAATGACTAAATTTTAATTCCAGTTTTTAGCAATAAAATGCTGAGATAATGTATGTGCAGCATAAAGGGAACTTTATTTTTCAAAGATAAAAGCCATTTTACAATAATAGAATTTCGAATCGAAAATAACACAAATGGAATTCTTTCGGAATTATTTCTAAATCACAAACAACAAACGTTATTTAAATTTCGGAAAACGTACACGTACATTATTGGCAAAAATTGAACACAACAAAAAAACTATGAAGTGGTAAAATAATTATAGTTGGAAATAATGAGTCTTTATATTCAAGAAAAATAACCGCAGTTGGAAAAAAATTAAGGATAAAAGGATAACATATTTCCCAAAACACTGGCCATTCAATAGTGGCTCGCTCTGTTGAATTAGTGTTGAAAATCGGTTCACCGCTAACAATGTATGCATTCGGATAGGTATACAAATGCATAATACGTGTAATAAGTGGCCATGATCCATGCACAACATTTAGGAATTAATGCAAAAAGAAAAAGAAAATATAAAAGTCGTAAAGCTATAATGTAATTGCCTCTTCGGTCCCCCAAAATGTGATATTCAAAATTTATATTCTGCAAACTTTAACCATATTAAACTACTTTCACTGAATCACTACGTAACGTATCATTTTTGCTAACCGCTTGAATGTGCATTGCTTCCAACGGCTATTGTGGATTGGCTTGCAGAGAGACGTTTTCCCGAAATAACATTAGACGCACCATTCTCATCCATCGGACAAGGCACAAGAAGTCTCTGTCCAGGAAATACCTTCAACATGCTCACATCACCATCTTACTAATTAACAAAATGTCACGTACATATTATAGAAACTTTAAAGGAGAAATACGTAATTCTATACACCGCAATGAACACAATCATTTTATCACTGAACATCACGTAAGAACAAAAAATTGCTGAATTATTTGAATATAACCATGATAAAAATTTTTCAAACAACTGTAGAACCTCTCCTGAATTTTCTTTTAAAATCCTTTCCAAACACCAGAATATCTTTTTGTTGCGTCCTTATTATCGAAAGCAGACACATGGATGCTGCATACTTAGCTAATCGGTGCGAGCATCATTCTATCGCGAAAGGGAATCAATATCGCCCTATTTAACCAATTCAACCACTGGTTAAGTTACTGACTTTCGAAAACCTGACCTTGAGCAGTGCCTTTGACAATGAACGACAACTTCCTTTTGAATAATGCAACAAGACGACTAGGTTGGATTCCGTAGAGATTAATAGACTAAAGCACGGCATTAAATAATCGTCCGTTCAAACAAAGGATATTTTTTCATATTCTTGCAGGCGAATCCAATCAATACATCCAATCAGCCTAGTCATCTTATTGCATTATTGAAAGGGAAGTTGTCGTTTAGGATAAGCAATCTGTGCTTTGTATTAAAACTGCTCCTGAATTTTGAAACTACAATATTAACGTCGAAGAAATAATAAATTTACCATTCGTGTTGCAAGTCGATTCATCTTCATCAGCTCACCAACAGTACAATCATGTAATGCAGCAATCCGTTCAATCGAGTCTGATTGCGCTACCGTGTATTCCATCTATAAAAAAGAAACAGATTGCTTATTCCGGAAGCAAGAAATTTGACTTTTTTTAAATGACAGATATATATATGTGAAAAAGCTATTTTATTTCCAAAAATCTCTTTTGTCAAAGCAACCGGAAATTTTTAAAATCGAAACATTACCCCTGCAGCGAAAAAAAATTTAGGTTTAAACTTAATTTGAATGAGACTAGCTTAACTGTAAATCAGAATACTAACACATACAATAATATATACAGAAGCCGAGAAACAGTAAGTGATAACAAATCAGATGTGTGAGATTACATGGTTTCAATTGTAAATATGTTAAAGTATATCAATAATTGAAACAAAAAGTGGTGGAAAAAATACTTTTGATTCATGCGCTAGAAAATGAATGATCAAAAAAAGGTGATTTTGATTTTTTAATCTTCGAAATAAGTTTTCTGCAGCAAAGACAGAAGCAGAAAAGAGGAAAATTCCAATTTACCTAATAAAGACTGAAATTTATGAAGTATTGTTTTAGTGAAAAATGTCGATTATGAACAACGTAACACGTTCATTAAATTATAACGTAATAAATTTCATTAAATTATAAAGTAATAAATGTGAAAATCTATAATTAAAACTAAAACCTGCACAAGACACCAAGTCACACTCTCAGCCTTGTCTTCGCCTTCAATTTACTGATCGAAGGAGGAGACATTTTCACGATATTTTCATATTTCAAGTGTAAATACCCACTATTAACTTCTTTATCAGAATTCTGATATGAAGAATAACGTACTGAATAAAAATTAATGACGAAAAAGGAGAAGAGTGTAAACCACAGGCATACTTACAACAAGCTTAACAAAGCAGAAAATTCATTTGCTGGTGACATAGACTCAAATATGCCTAAAATTATATCTTTAAAGCGTAGAAAACTAGATTTGCGATCCTAAGAAACAGTTTTGTATTGCATAGGAAGAGAACTTTTTTGAATAAAAACCAATATTTTAGGTATAAATATTGAGGATGATTCCCTTTTCATCATTCCCTTTCCCACTTTTATTAGTTTAATCTTTAATGTCCTACTCCAAGCGGACATTGATTAAGGTACAAATAAAAGATAAAAAGAGAATGATAGCTGTACTGAAAAGAGAATAAAGTATCGTCTCCTACCACTTATTTAGCTTGGAAAAAAAAAATCCCTCTACCAAGAGATGAATAAGTGTGGGGACTTCTTAAACACCAAATCAAACATTTTTCCAAGAAATGATAATAAATGTTAGTAAAAATCTAATCACAAATTTGAAATCTAATCAGCTACTTCAAAGGAAATTAGATGCTGCTATCATAAACATTCGCTGTTTTTTATGGAGTCCTAAAATTACAACTTCAGACTAGAAACAGTTTTCTGAAAACAAATCTCGACAAGAAATAGTACTGTGCATCCAGATATTTATATTATTCTGAACTGTAGTATTTTGATGGACACTTGGGAGCCTTTTGATGAATCCAAGAGATCTCTATCTGGCACCGACTAGGTTTAATTGATAGTCTCGTTATCAGGTAAACGACTAAAATGCTTGAAACGAATGACTAAAATAAATAAAAAACGAGAAACCAATTTCATGCCGTTGCATGACCAGACGATTTGTGTATTCGAACAAGCGATATAATAATTGCAGTATCAGATGAATACCGACTTTGTCAGTTTATGTGATAATACTCTCAGAATGGCTAGAATGAAGCAAATTTGAATAAATTCTAGAATTTCGCAGACGGGTACATTTTATGATGAGGAGGAACTATATCACCCTACAGATATTGAGAAAAAGGGCTTACTGGCTGAATAAACGCAGTAAAGGAGATGGGAACAGATAGAAACAGATGTTTGCTAATTCACACAGCTCCTTTCCATTACGAAAATTTATTTAAGTTTATTCCATGGACAAAAAACTTGCCTTTTATTAGCACTTGTATAAAAAGGTGCTTGTCTGCCCTAGAAACAAAAATAACACGTATCGCCGGACTTAATTTGCAAACTTGCGAGTTCCACTTTTCACTTTATTTTTTCCGCCAATCCTACAAGAAAAATCTTTCCCATACCCCAAAACAAAATACATAACACAGTAAAATATGAAATGAGCTTAGCATCCTACGAATACTTTCTCCACCAAAAGCTGATCAAAACCGCGAGGGATCGCAATGGTTAATGAATGGTAAGGAAATTGCAATAATTAACTTTACTTACTGAAATATCAGTAGGAAACTTTCTTTTTTCACACAGAAATTTGTACATAGAAATTTCTTATGTAAAAATTTTTTATGTTTTTATTTTCTATTTTTTTAATTTTTTGGGGTTTTTTTTAAATACCAGTACAGATGCTCCGAGAAATGCGAAATTTGTATTAATCGAAAAATGTTCGCCATAAAAACAAATCGTAGTTTCAAACATTCTTCGACCACCAAAATACAAAATTCGCTTGATTTATGATAAAACAAATCTTTATAATTGGAATAAATTTTAAAATCAACGAAAACCTTTTGCCCTAAGCTTTTTTATACGAGCGGCTAAGTAACACTACAGGAATTCATTAAGAAACAAACCAACAGCTCACTTACTGGCTCAGCAATGACTCGCTGGACGAAAATATTCACTTTGATATTCAGTAAGAGACGAATAACATTTCAAGAGTCCAAGCGTCCAGAACGACAGTGAAAAAAAATTGACTTAAATCTTGAAAAATGATCCAATTAAGAACAGAAGAAAGCAAGAAAGCAAGAGAAAGCATAAATTTAGAACAGTCGTCAACAAATCTAACAAATATTAAGAAAATAGAATTTTCATCTTGGTACACATAAAAGAGACCGCAAGCTAAGACAGTGGAAAAAATGACCCATCATTAATCACTACACGCATCTGACTGACACTTACAATTTCAACCACAAATAAAACTGTAAAAAAAAAAAAAACTAATAAAACTATATAAAAGATGAAAAAAATGAAAGTAAAAGTAAAAAAATCAAAAAAAAAAACGAACGAAAATCCCACATACAATAGAGAGAGTATCAGGGAACGAAATTTTGCAGTCAAAACCGCTGCTCAGTATTGATAAGCAAATGGAAATGCAGGCAGGTATCAAGCTTACACTGATTAATAATCCGGTTAATTAGGAATACTGATCAGTAGAGCATATAATACATATTGATGATATGGAGTTTAATTTCGCAACTCATAAAATTTCAAATTTAGAATTTCTAAAAAACTTCAACACTTCCATAAATCATAAAAATTGAAAGAAGACATGAATTCATATCCAGAGATATACAAAACATTATTAAGATTGGGTTGCAAACTGGAAACAGTTGTCTGTAACAAGTTACTATCCACAAGTCAAAATTCCATGTCAACCTTAAATAGGTTAACATGGAATTTATTTCCATTCCGAATTCTTTAAATTCCGAACACTTTGTTTTGAAAGCACAAAATGAAGAGATGGATCAATTGCGAAAGGAAACAAAGATGGCGAAGGGCTATCGAAAATTGGTGGAAACAAATTGTTAAACAAATAATAAACCAATGCAAAATATACTGATAGTGTTTCTGTTAATGTAGAAAACTTTTGTTACTTTCGTTCGCTACTTTTGTTACTGTTCCTCCCACTGCAAACCAGATGTTCTATCCCTCTTTTCCTTCTCATCTTATTTTTGGCACCATTTCTTTTCTATTTCTTGCAAACAGTATATATGTTTCTTGTCGTCCATCAATGTATTTTGCACAAAAAAATTGAAATACAAAAGACAAAAATAACAAATAATGGTGTTAAGGAAATATTCTTGAAGCATTATACATCTGCTCCAACTATAAAAGATCCAAACGGGAAGAAGAGACAAAGTGGTTTCAATGGAACTGAATCTTTTTAGCACATGGTGAGTAAAGAATAATTTACTTTCGGTTATTTCCCTCAAAAAATTAAAGGAAGAAAAAGATTCAGTATTTTAATATTTAATGATTTAAGATTGTCAATGCAAAAAGTAACAACTTTATGTGAACAAAAGCGAAGAACGTTTGCTAGAATGAAGAACACTTACTAAAATAATCATTAGCGAAATTTGCAAGAGAGTAGCGTGTAGGTAACTGTGAAGCGCAAAAAAAAAAATTGAAGTTTGACATGAAAGGACGGCTCTCAAATGAACGGTTTTTGAAACCAAATTAACAAGGCAAGTTCTTTTTGTGATAAGAGGATATAAAGTGAAAGAAGGCGGATCGAACAGACTCCGCTTAATGAATGTAGGGCTGTAACCATCGTCATTTCTAAATTAACCACACGAATTTGCGAAAGATACTGAACAGGGTAAGGCAACTTGAAAACATTATTAAGCTAGTTACTTTTTCTTTTTTATTTTAAATAACAAAAATTCAAATAAGACCGATTAACAGAAAATCACTACGGAATAGATCTAAGAAAAGTATTTCACGTCATTTCTAAATTATCAACACGGCTCTCCCTACAAAACCAAAATGCAAATCAAAACTTTTTTCAAACAATTCAGCAATCCATTAGGTTAACCATGTAACTTCAGGAATCTTTTCATGGCAGAATGAAATCTGAACATTTGCGAGCCACAAACTTCAGTCTTCTCCTCCAAACGAGAGCAAACTGAAAGTCTGATAATGGATGAGAAGGAAAACTGTATTCTGCTTAAAGTAAATTAACCACGGCAGATATTATTTTTATGCTTTTTGCAATTATATAAAGGTTCCATATATTTTATAAACATTGGCACAAACAATCAGAAGTGAACAAGAAGCTCCAAGCAGATATTGAATAATGGGAAGCTTATGGTTTTACTAATTATTCAAATATGCCATATTTTCCATAAAAAACCTTTTAAATCATTTTCCTGAAATGAACGCTAAAGGTGAGCAATTCATAAACTAATTCAGAAAAAAAAAAATTCATTCGCTCGAACAGCAGATAATAAAACCTGCCAGTAGATTACAACCTGCAAAAACAAACTTTGAAAATGAATAGCTCCAGTCATGTATGTCTTATTTGGTTATGGCCAATTCAGGAAGTATAAATGTGTGCTATGGCTACTTTGCGGTTCGATCTTATCAACATGCGAATCCACAATACTACATTTAAGCGAATGAGCAGAGAAAAAGTGGTTTCACCCAGATCACTGTGAATAAGCCCCATATTACAAAAATGGTAAGATGCTGATAATCCATGCATCAGACAACGACTTACAATAACTAAAGCTAACTGCTTACATGTACTTAAGTGCATAAACTTTTCATGAATTCATAAAATAACTGTGCGCAGAACGCTTTTTATAAAAACATGTAAAATAAAAGATTAGCTCAGAATATGAAATTTTCACTATAACGTTATCCTCTAATTTATTATTTTCAGTCAACAACTTATGATATCTCACTCTCTCGCTTCTATAACTTCTGTAGTTCGAGTTTCCTTCAAACTCGAAACTCTTTGTCTGTATATTGAAAAGTGCAACATTTCCGGTCTTGAATCACAATTTTTATTTTCTATAACTCGTCAAAACCAGTGGAATGATTCTTAATTAACATGAGACTACAAACAGCACTACTGCACTTGACTAATACGAATTTTTTAACAAAAAATTATGGAAATGCTAAGGTGACATAAGATAAGGAAACTCTAGATTATTTCAATCTTTTATGCTTCACAAAGAATCCTAGATACAAGACAAGATCCTTAAATAAGAATCACTTTTTAATAACATAACATAAATTACCAGCTTAGAAAAGAAAAAACAGACGAAAGATCGTGCTTTTCGATTCAATGAATACATTCATGCCAGAAGTTTTTCGGCTATTAACTTCTCTTCCTACTTGGTCGTTGAATTAAAACCATTAGTAATAGTAAAGAAGTACTTTTTATAATGACAGATTTGAGTTGGTTTTGGTTTCAATCTTTTTTTAGGAATACTGATTATACTAATCAATTCTAAATATAGTCTTTCAAATATCGGTAGTTAAAACCAATTTTTTGGTAAATCCCAATAATCTCCTCACTTTAAGATTCACAACTGAATGCTTGGCTTTGATTTTGGGATTTCATCACGAACGAGTTTTGCATCGCTTCCTCACATGGCATCTTAATACCGAACTTCGCTTGCAAAAATCTAGAGAGATCAGAAGAACCAGAAATTTTGAAATGATTTTTAAAATGAAATCCAAATCCGGATTCTCGTCTAGTGAACTTGGAAAACTTCGTCAATGTAGTAGAAATAGTATTCACTACTTGTAATCGACTACTTTTTCAAAAAGGGCTCCTATGAAAATAGCAAAAAATAAAAGAAAGCTACTTGTTATTGAGAACGACCAAACTTCATTAACTTAATTCACTTAGATTTCCCTCAATGAGAGGTGGTTCATTTATGAATTCATTAAAAAAGTAACAAATAAGTGAAATATGAGCCCATTACTTGCTACCCTATTTCTAGATCATCAAAAAATTCTTCAGAACGAAAAATTATGCAAAACTGCTGCTAAAGAGATGAAAATTTGAAACTTGGAAAAACCTTGTCGTATGTAAGTACTAGCTTTTGATCCACAGAGTTGGACAATAATTTACCCAAACATAAGCAACAATATTTCTTTCCGTTTCTTCCCTTCTCCACTACCTTTCTATAAGGCCAAGAAAACGAAAACCAATAAAATGATGAAAAGTAACACATCCGACTTGTACGTATCCATGGATGCATTGTAAGTATATACTGAATCTGCGAACAGAGTTTGACTTGACCAATTTCACTGCTTTTAAGTGAATCAAAACCAGCATTCTTCAGTTTTAAACAAAAAAAAAGTTAAAAAGGACTATAATAAAAATAATTAATATCAGGAAAAAGCTTTTCAAAATAACTGCTGCTGCATATCAACTACTTATGCACGTTTTCATGCAACCGGATTTGAAATTTAAATACTAAAAGTGGAGAAGCGATTTTTTTTCAAAAAGAGTCATTTACGAGTTATTCAGTTTTCCCTGAAGAAAAGTGAAATCAATCTGAGATTAGAAAATAACGCAACGGAAATTAATTAGTATACGACTAAAATAGCACACACATTTCTTGATTGCAAAATTTTTGGGAACTAATCAATCAATTTGATGGGTATTAACATTAAAGAAAAATAATCTAGCAGTTTTCTTAAATCGTCTCATTCAGAGCAAAATAAATCAGGAGTAATAGGAGAATGGAGGAGAATAATTTGCAGGAGAATAATTTCGGAAGAGAGTTTAGTATTCTAGCAGACTGCACCAGAATTTGTTGCAAAAGATTTCTATAAAAAGCCAAATGTTTTATAAAGTTCCATGTCAGTTGAGGTCCACAGACAAAACACACTCTCATGAAAATTTCTATATTCAACCTTTTATTTCTCGAAATATCATAGAAAGACAAGTCAGTACAAAAACTAATTTTTCCCCTTTAAATTTTTCCTATGAAAGTAATTGTAATTAGCCATTACTCACCATTGAGATTTCTAATTTCCTATTGAGCTTTGGCTGACGTAAGTCCGTTGACTCAGCTCTAAGCTTAAGCTTAATGCCAAGAACTCAACTTCAATCGTCGCTCTTAAAAAATAGTATTCAAATGAAGGAAATTACCAAAAGAGCTCCAGGATCCATCTCCACGCTTTATTCAAGCAAATCGTCCAACGCAAAGATAACCATCGATTCGCAAAGATGACCTCGCAAAGATAACCATCGATTCTCGCTTGCCGCTCTCATACCAACCACCACTTGCGAATCCGCCGACAATCATGGGAAAATAAGCCGGTCTGCGGCATTACTACGTCCCGATATGCAACTCTTGCAACCCTGTACAGTAGTTATCTTAACATTTGACTTTATGCAAATAGAAAGGCAGTACTTTTGTAGTTTGAAATTTTTTCGTGTGCATTCCAATGTACATTTCTTTGAAAAATTTGCTACTGATGTCTGGAATTTAAGAATTGCTTTGCTCCATTTTCAAATTCCAAATAGTTTTTACTTTAATTCAATCTCTGTCATTTTTTTCAATTAACTGAGAGGTATTTAACGAGAAAATTTGATTTTGTTTCGTCGATATAATGATATTAAAAACAAAAGTTTTGCAATTTTCCGTCTTGACATCTGCTATAGATATCAAATACAAATCAGTAACTGTCGTTAAGAACCTTCGGTACTGTTCTAAAATTGATGATCAGGAATGCAGTTGCAAGGTACATGAAAGAAAGGGATAGCAGTAAAATGAAATCGTATTTCTGACTTCGATGCTCCACATAAGGTGACAAATCTGATAGTTGAACAACAATCATTTTTTGCATTTCTTTCACAATTAGACAAAACATGGAAAGCCTAAAAAGAATTGCTTTCATATAAAAATATCATCTTGCTGTTTTCGTGGTAATTATATGAGAATATTCTGATTCCGAAGCCTGAATTCAAAAGGTTACTTCTTGAAAATTGTTTCCGAAGTTTATTAGAAAACAGTGCAATCATTTATATCAGTTACCCGTAAAAAATAGAGTTGATACTACTCCGATCCAAAGCACTAGTTATATCAAGTATTGGAAAAGAATGTTTACTTGGATGGACAGTGGTGCAAAAGGTGGACAAAGCTTAGAATTGGAATTGCATTGCTTTTGATACGGTGCACTAAGCAATTCGAAAGTTTTTAAGAATTTTTTCGGAAAATTTTGTTGAATTTTCGTATACATTTAAAACATTACTTGCATTTTAAACTGTGGGTTGAATTTGTTGTTAGTTACTGACATATATCAATAGCTAACTTCATTTGTGCATATCCACTCTTTTTCGTGCCAAATACATCCCTTTTCTAAATTTTTCCCTAGCAAAATATTAGTCGTAACCAACAATGCATTTGTACAGCAAAATTTTATTGATATCTATCCAGAAATTGGCCTGCAATTGGCCTACAAAAACTGGCCTACAAATTTCTGGATAGTTATCAGTAAAATTCTATTACATAAGGGTTTCTTCTACATAAGTTCGAAAATAAATCAATCTACAAGAATTTGTGAATGCATGACTAAATTTCTTAACTTAAAAATGTTGGCATTAAAGCTTTGTTCTGTAGGCCTATTTTCCCCGCTATTCGAGTTTGTATCTTTTCGTTTCTGGTAATATGAAAGAAGCGGTCCATTCATTTATTTTATTTTTGTCGCGAAAATACTGCCATCCGAAAATAAAAATAATTGATTTATAGGACTGTTATGTCTGCTGCAACAGGCGGGCTATTGTTCCTCGTTCGTGATTGAACTCCTGGCTTTTTTAGAAAATCCGGTCAATTAATCTGGAAACTAATGAATGCTGATTTATCATATGAAATAAATTAGATATCTCTCCACCTTGAAATGCAACATTTGTCGTGAATCCTTTTGTCACACCCAATTGTAATGCTGAGGAATATTGACGAATATTCAGTTTATGTATCTTATTTGGAATTTTTTATTATTTTTCACTTAAGTTTATTTTCATTTCTATCTGCGGAACACTTACATTTCGTAAAATTTGTTGCAATTTTCAAGCGGATTTTATCAAAACTTGTGTTCCTTTTATTTTCAAATAATGCGTTTATAGCATGAGATTGCTTGCTTCAGAAATTTCTAAGAAAAAGAGCTAAAGATAACGATAAGAAAGATAAGAAAACGAAATGTGTACCTTTTTAAAGTTCTTGAAGAAAAATTAAAATCGACTTCTCGAAGTAATTTGTTGAAATTCACAACTGTGGGAAAATGATACTTCTAAAAAACTGAACTGTAATTGGGAGAATGACTTTAAGTGCAAGAAATAAAAGACTGTTGTTACAAGAGATATATTCTGTCAAGTAGCAGCTACTTTGTCGCTATATATATATATATATATATATATATATATATATATATATATATAT